TTAAGGTAGTTGTCAAAATTATGGTCCCTTTTGGGGTACCCTAAATAATAGGTGCCGTATTATAATAAGGACCCAAAAAGGGAGCATAATTTTGACAGCCACCCATTAAGGCCCCTCTATGACCCGGCCTTCTCCCCGCGCGGCCCTCGAGGCCAGCACCGCGCTCGCATCTTCCAGGAGCCTGGAAGGGCTGAGAGATTTAGGGCTTGGTTTAGGGTTTAGGGTTTAGGGTTTAGGGTTTAGGGTTTAGGGTTTAGAGTTTAGGGTTTAGGGTTTAAGGTTTGGGATTTAGGGTGTTTGGTTTAGGGTTTAGGGTTTAGGGTTCGGGATTTAGGGTTTAGGGTTTAGGGTTTAGGGTTTGGGGTTTAGGGTTTTGGAATAGGGTTTTGGGTTGAAGAATCAAACTAGGGTTCAATGGGCTTTCTGTCTGGAGTTTGGGGGAGGCTTTGGCTTTAGAGATGAATTCGGGAGCAAAGCGCCCAGAGTCTGGAGTTCAAGATGTCAGGCAAGCGAAGAAAACTAAATGCTAAACTCCAAGGTGTCCCATTTTCCTCAAATTATATTGAGGGTTCAGGGTTTAGGGTTTTAGGGTTTAGGGTTTAGGGTTTAGGGTTTTGGGGTTTAGGGTTCAGTATATGAAGGATCCTTGCCATGATTGCTTTAACAAGGGCCCGAACTCAAGCCGACGCTGACGCCCGACGCTTCCGAAGACCAAACTCGTCAGCTACTGCGGCTCTGTGCTATATGGGTGGTTGTCAAAATTAAGGTCCCTTTTGGGGTACCCTAAATAATAGGTGCCGTATATTAACAAGGACCCAAAAGGGACCATAATTTTGACAACCACCCATATATTATACACTTTAGCATAGAGAGAGAGAGAGAGGGAGAGAGATAATTAGTTGTTTAACTTGCTCATTATCTGGTCTAACCATGGATTTATCAACTTATTGTATCTGCTGGTGTATTTCTTAAAACTCACGTGCTTGCTTATTGTGGCTTGCTCGCGTATTCTTCCCTGGTCAGGTGTCCTTTATTTGCCTTCATCTTTTGATGTATGTACATAGTCTGTTCATACGGTCATGCTACATACAAATTCATACAGACACTGAAGAGTCCCTGCCGGAAACCCTACTTCAGGATCATGGGACTTAGTAAGTAGGGTTGTAATTAAGGTAACCATACTTATATTTACTTATAACCCCAATTGAGGGACTTATAACCTTACTTACTAAGTCCCAGGATCCTCCAAGTACCGAACCCTGAGACCCAAGATTGCAGAGCCGACTGAAGGAGCCGACACACCCGCATGTCCTGAAGCCCCAACGCCTAAAACCCTGGATATCCAAAACCCAAACACCCTCAAACCCTGAACACCTCACACTTACTTCCCGAACAAGCCAGGGAAATAAAAGGTTAAACTTTCAGGTTACTACTAAATTATAAGAGCCCCAAAATGTTTAAAGGTTGGGTATTGGAGACCCCAGCCACAACACTGAACCCAAAAGCCTGCCCAAAGACTCCAATATCTCTTAATTAACCTTAATTAAGGAATCTACCTTAAATTATAGTAGGATCCTTAATATGATTTAAGGTATATTCCTTAATTAAGGGATATTGGAGTCTCTCGGCCCTAATCCAGGCTCCCAGTGCGCCTGGTCAGGTGCTCCATGCTCTTGAAAGGGTCTGAGCGGTTCAGGGCCTGACTAAAGCTGGTGTACAGCACCTGGCGGAGGCTGTACGGGACGATGCCGCCCCGTCGAGGCTTGGGGTCTAGGGTTTAGGGTTTTGTTTGTTAAAGTGTAGTGACCTTTTCTGTGGGTTTAGGGTTTAGGGGAAAGGGTTTAGGGTCTAGGGTTCAGGGTTTAGGGTTTAGCCTGCTCGAAACGCTGAACGCGGCATGGAATCAAGGATCTAGAGGGTGTGAGGTTCTCAGGGTGTGAATTCCAACGTCGCGTCCTGAACCCGGTACTCCAAAACCCAACGAACCCGGAAACACCCCGAGCCTGTTGGATTTAGGGTTCACGACTTCGGATTTCGGGTTTAGAGTTTGGGGTGCAAGGCATGCCATAAAACCCCATAAGACGCTACAAGAACCCTACAAGAACCTCCAACGAACCTTAAGCCGAATACCCAAAACCCTGAACCCCAGAACCCCCCAAATACCAAAAGACCCCACTCCCAAGCCCTCTACTGAGGAGCTGAGTACCCTATAACCCCAAAAAGATTGACTTCTTCTATTGTACTAGGACTATATGAGCCCCAAAAAGTTAAAGGTTAAGATAGGGGGCCTTGATATTAGAATATGGTTTGGGGCTGGACTATACTATACTTATAATAAGGAACCCCCAAAATAGTATAGGATATTCAGGCCTCTATATTACCTACTCTGCCCCTAAGTCGAAGGACACTACCTGCCCTGACATGGTGAGCCAAGCCGCTGGGCGACCGCTGGCGTCGGTACCCACCTAGGACTTGAAGCTGTCGAGAAATCGTTTAAGGTTTGCCCATAGGCTCCATGGTAGTTCCTTTTCGGGATTACCTTATAGGATCCGACATATAAACCACAAAAATACTATGGAACCCATGGGTAGGGTTTAGGAGAGTTTAGGGTTTCGGCTACGGGCTCAGGATACATGCATGCATGGGCGCACGAACGTTGAAGCTCCTAATCTCTGTGTAGGGTACTGAAAAAATCCTACTTTAAACTGAAAGGTGCCTGGGTTAGTTGAGAGACATTGCAACAAACAATGCAAAAGGTACTGGGAGAGTTTCATTGGGAATGGAAATCCTGGAAAAGCCTGCAGGCATGACAACTTCTATATTCTAGATATGCATGTAAGCACTATAGCTACCATACACCCCTGCCAGACCCTGTAATATAGGGGCCTTAATACTTAGAATAAGGTTTTGGGCCCCTTATACTATAGTTATAATAAGGAACCCCCAAAATAGTATAGGTAATTGAATAAAACGGTCGATGACAGACCCTGAGACGGAGACTACGTTGACCCCCAATTCCCCCAAACCCCCACCTCAAAACACAAACCCGAGACGCCCCCAAACCATAAATCTGAGCCTAAACCCTAAACCCTACACCCTAAAAACCTAAAACCAAACAACCCTAAACCCTAAAACCCTAAAAACCTAAAACCTTAAACCCTAAAACCCCAAGTCCTAAAGCCTAAACCTCTAAACCTGAGGCCCCGGCCACACGCAGGTTGTGGCTGTGAGGCGACTGTGCACAGGCCGAGCACTCGACCTCAGCCGGGCGCGTCTGCTGCCGCCACCTGGCGCAACAGGCTTCTTGTTCATGTAGGGGCCTTAATAATTAAAATAGGACTTTGAGGGTTCTTTATTATAACTATAGTACAATATACCCCCAAACCCTATTCTAATTATTCAGGCCTCTATGTTGAGGGTTTTAATTAAGTTACCATGATAGGGATCTACACTAACTAATGTGGTTTCCTTGTTAGGGGATGTAAGATAAGTTACCATATAGTTAAATGATAAGGTTTCCTTATTGTTAGATTTAAGTTAAGTTACCATAATAGGGACCTACAGTAAATATCCTTATTGTTAGGGGATTGAATTTAAGTTACCATAATAGGGACCTATAGTAAATAATATGGCTTCCTTATTATGGTAACTTGAATTACATATTAAATCCCTTAACAAGAACCCAGGCAAGGGTTTTAGGGGTGTGGGTAATGCACCCTGAACCCTGAAGATAAAAGTGCAGGGTCTAGGATCCAAGTTTAGGGCGTAGAGTACATATGGGCCTAAAGCTTTGAACCCTTATTTCGTCAACTAGTTCTTCGAGGTGGCTTGAGCGTGGCGGCCAGCGCACCGGCAGCACTTTGAACATCGCCGTTGCAAGCCCGTAAATAGCCTTTCGGATCCAGGACGGGTACTTGTTCCAGGGACTCCGATATCCCCAGCCAGTAGGCCAGGTTAGGCTCCTTTATTCTGGATCCCTAAACCCTAAACCCTAGACCCTAAACCCTAAAGTAATCCTTCCCGGGTCTTGGACTCTCGGGGTGCATCCTTTGAGATTCACGGCTTGTGATCTGCAAGGGAAGGATTTAGCTACTGCCGAAACTACCGCGCTTCTAGCCGGCGCTATGATTTCTGCTAGTACCAGTACCAGAAACACTGTCCTTTTGGGAGTCAGAGGTTAGGCTCCTACGGGTTGACCCTGAAAACAGCCAGTCACCCGAAAAGATTCTGAGAGCACCGGTATTGTTTAGAATACGGTGAGGGCTTATCACTGTACATGTATACAGTATGGAGACTACAAGGGGGCCCTCTTACAAATTATTCAGACCTCCATTGTCCGAATATAAGTACCACTCTTGTTCCTCAGAGTACCCTTTCTGGGTATGCTATAATACAATCTACAAACCTATCCTAATTAAGTAAGGTCCGTATAGTTGGGTTTAGGGAACCCTCTGAGGGAGGCCTGAGGCACTCCACTATGGCTCGCGAATTTTTGGGGGCCTTAAGAAGTTGAATAGAGCAGCGGCCCGTGATTGTGGCAAAACCCGGTTTACCAGTTGGTCAGTTAGTTGAAAGCAGCAACAAAAGCTTCGGCTAAACGCCCAGATCTGTTCAAAATCTCTCCGAAGTCAAGTTTCGCTTCACGCATGCATCGTCCACAAACGCTGCGCAGGAGTCCTGCTCAAGTCATGCAAGTGATGCTGTCTGCTTACACATGCGCTCGCTTTCTCTCTCCCTCTTTCCTGCTCCCAGCATTGCATTGCAGTTAGAAAGAGTCGCGATGCTGCAGATTGAGTAACTACTCTTTCATGACAGTCTGTATGAACCTGCTGGGGGCACTGACGTGGACATGTCTCTGAAAGGCTGGTCTCCATCAAACATGACGAGCTTTCCACTTCCACTACCTCAGAAACAGCTGCACTCCCATAATGTAGGGACCTTAATCATTTGAATGGAGTTTTGGGCCCCTTTTATAGTATCCTTATAGTAAGGAACCCTCAGGCATAGTATTGGTAATTATTAAGGCTTCTATATTACCGACTCTTGATAGGCTGAAGTGCATTATTGCTCTAAGCATTCTTCGTATTCGTCGTCGTCGTCCTAGTCCTCCTCCTGCTGTTGCTGCACTGCACAGTGCAAAATAATATGCTTCTCAAGGCTGGTATATGATCCCATGCTTAGCAGTATCCATGCATACGCAGTTGTGTGGTGGATGTTCTCATTGGTACTGCTGTTGTCAGTAGCATACTACCATTCTGTAATATTGGGCCTTGATAATCAAAGCAGGAGCATGTTATGCGAGATTTATACGTGGACTGCTGCACCTCTACTGACCCCAGCTGCGCGCGCACCCGGCGAACGGCCAGGTCCGTAGCAGACATGGCTGAAGGCTTCTGGTGAAGGGCGTCAGGGTGAGCTAAGGTGCAGGGTTTGCAACCCCAAATGGTGGCCGCGGGCACCCCAAAAAACATCCTTGTCTGGTATCTAAGGCCAATGACGACCAATGCTCCGTAAGTCAAGGAAACATAAAACCTTATGTCCTAGGTAAACCTAAACCGTACAACGTGCACCCTGAGTTATCGACCCCATGTGGAGCGTGGATCTAAACGCGGCTTCAAGCCACGGTGGCTGTTCACAGACACGTGGGGCTCAACGCTTAGCGCTCGAGCGGGAGTGAGGCAGGCGCTTGAACGCAAAAAAACATCCTAAATCCGCAGTCCCACACTTCTCGTCCGACCCTGAAAAGCCCTACCTTTTGGATGAGATACATAAGGAAGCCATGGGTCATGTACAACAATATTGGAGTCTCTTGTTAAAAGCGTGCTTATGCTAGAGATGCTGCATTCAGGATCTTAAGCCGTATGGGCCCTTGTGAAGTGTTACAAGCTTTACAACACCCTACTAAACATCAGCCTCGGACCGTCAACTCTGAACGAAAAACTCTAAACTTTCAGCCTTGCACAAGCCCCCAAATCCTGAAAGCCCAAAGCCCTGGACCCTCCGTCTCAACGCTCTGGAGGCCCAAAGAGCTTCGGCTTAGGTTTAGGGTTTAGGGTTTAGGGTTTAGGGTTTAGGGTTTAGGGTTTAGGGTTTCGGGTTTCGGGTTAGGTTTAGGGTTCAGGGTTTAACCCCTTCCGAAGGCCCGAGCGCAACCCCTGTTTATGAAACCATATCACAGCCGATAAAAGAGCCTTGAGCCCTCTTCGAAGCTTTTGGCCCTCACGTTCATTCGCTCTTTGACTCGCCCCGTCGCCAAGCGAACGAGTGCTTTAAACGTTTGAATCCGGCTTGGAAGTTCCAAGCAAGCTGCTGTCGTCCCCAAAGAATTTGGGTGTGTACACACACATACATATCAATAAGTTATACTGTATCATATTATGTTATGTGATATTATGTTTAAACTATGTTATATTATATTATATTATACTATACTATACTAAACTATACTGTACTATATTATGCTATATTCTTATGTGTGCTTATATATATATATATAGATGTATATACATAGGTCAATCATACACCCAGGGTATCCTTTCAAGAACGTATCATATGGGCCTTTGTGTAGGGCCTTTGAATGATTTTGAATTCTTATGATTTTTCTGAAAGTCTTGGAATGATTTGGAAAGTCGTCCTCTTTGTGGGCAGGGTCTCTGGGTCCTGAAACCCTGGAACCTAATCTCCTAAACCCTACACCTCAAACCCTGGACCGTACACCCCATACTTTTCTGCACACCAGCTCAGGGTGTCCGGGCAGTCCGAAAGCAAGGGTTGAGGGCTTTAGACGCCAACATACATACATACATACATACATACATACAAGCAAGTGCAAAATCTGATATATGCATATATAAGCGTGCGTATGTACTAAGTCTGTATACACACACACCAGACCAGACTTTGTTTCGTGGAGCAGATCTTGGATGAAGGCGGGACCTCCCTTGGAAAATGGCGTCGCTGCCGGGAGAAGCTGACACTAAGGAAACGGTGCAAGCCTTCCCTGGACCTTACCAGCCTAACCGCCAGAAACTCTGTAGCCTCAACCCCGAATCAGGGTTTAGGGTTTAGGGTTTAGGGTTTAGGGTTTAAGGGAACTAAGGCCCTTAGCAGAAGCCACGATTTGCTTCATGCTTCTTTCTCGCAGGGGGTCTGCTCAAAGCGTTTCTGGCCCTTCTCTTGAGTGCCCTGTTTAATCAAGCACCGATCGCTTTTTGCCAGATGAGGCTTTGGCAAATGTACTACTTTTACTCACTGTGCCTTGCAAAGCTGGCTTTGGGGTCTATTGCTCTGCAGAAGTACCTATACTATTTTTGGGGGGTCCTCATTATAACTATAATGCTATATACCGCAAAACCCTATTCCAATTTAGGGTTTCGGGGTCTTGGATTTGGTGTTGCCGTGTTCTCGGTTCGGGGGTGGAGGCTTCGAGGCTTTCAAACTTGCAACCTTCTTAATGTAGGGGCCTTAATAATTAGAATGGGGTTTTGGGGGTTCCTTATTATGATTATAGTAGAAAATACCCCCCAAACCCTACTCTGATTATTAAGGCCCCTGTACTAGTCTTATGGATGTCCCCCGTAGTCCTGTACCAGACATCTTACAGGATCCCAACTCTAGAGCCTTGAAAAACCCCACGATCGTACCCCCATACCATAGATAGCTGCTGGATGGAGACATCATAAAATGCACTAAACCCTAAACCCTAAACCCAAAACCCTAAACCCTAGACCCAAAACCCAACCCAAAACCCTAAACCCTAAACCCTATACCCTAAACCCTAAACCGGAAGGCGGGCCGCGCCGGCAGGGACAAAGAAAGAGATCCAGGCTGTGTCTACGACCACCGAAGGCCTCCAGAAACTCCACAGTGGCTAACGTAGGGGCCTTGGTAATTAGAATAGGGTTCCTTTAAAAGGTTACTAGAAGGGTTATTATAAGGGTTCTATAAGGGTCTAGTTCTGGGCCTTACCAATGAGAATAGGGTTTTGGGGGCTCCCTATTATAATTATGGTAAACTAGACCCACAACCCTGTTCTATTTTTTAAGGCCCCTACATTAGAGCGTGGAGTACTATCATCTAAGGATAAGCCGGCGATTGAGGGATTGCGGTGCCTCTAGCGCTGGGGTCTTGCGCTCCATCTGCGCGGCTGGCAGAGTGCCCGTCACTCCGGCAAGGTGATGCAACAACGTCCAGACGAAGCTGTGGAGCCTCCGAGTGGATTCATTGAGGGTCCGAGCCCAAAGATGTTTCACAGGGTGCGTTCACAGGGAGGAAAGGGCTATGGCGTTTCATCGGTCGCGCTCGGGTTTCTCACTTCACCTCGAAATATTTTTCGGATAATGCTGTTCAAAGTCATTGCATGGACACCCTACTACTTACCAGGAGTTCCTTTCTCGAGTACCACTTAATTAGGGCTCATGATCTATAACAACCCCTGGCGGAGCCTGCAGCGGCAGGCGCCGGCTCCGGCCCAGTCAGGGCCCAGAAGCTGCAGCGGATCTGCCCCTGCTCAGCTTGGAAAGTCCTCCGGCGCGTTTCGGTCCCCTCTGCGTAGGCTGCGAGGGCGCGACCGCTGTCGATGTCGATGAAGGGGCGCGGCAACGCGAACAGGCGGTTGTCGTTGGCGGCATCCTGCCTGGCAGGGGCTTAGGGGATGGGTCGTGGTCCCCGTAGTAGCCGATGAAAACATGAATAGGGCCCTTAATATTTAGAATAAGGTTTCGGGGTCTATTATACTCTAACTATACTGAGGAACCCCCAATATAGTGTTGGCGTGCACGCTGGCCGGGGTCGCTTGTTCTCAAACCAGCCCTGCCTGAGCCCTCCTAACTCGGCGGCTGCAGGGAACGAACCTTCTCCAACTCGCTAAAGAAAAGTAGGGAATACTGCCACTTGGACCCCTGCTCGCAGGCGTTGATGGCCAAGTTGTAGAGAGCAGCATCAGGCTCCCAACGCTGGAGATTCACATCCTGAAGGAGTTTAAGGACATGCTGCCAGCGCCCTCGCTGCTCACAGGCGGCGGCAGCGGCGGAGTAGCAGATCAAGTTGCCGGAGATCTTCCTGGAGCCCATTTCTCGCAAATATTGGAGGGCCTCTTCCCAGAGCCCAGCCATACCACAGGCATTGATGGCAGCTGTGTAAGAAACGACGCCCCGCTGCAAAGACTGCCCTTCCATGGAAGCAAACAGTTCCAGGGTGCTTGGCCACTGTCCACCATTCGAGCAAGCAGCCATCGCTGTGCTGCAAGTCTTAGCATCAGCGGCCAGGCGCGCCTTCTCCTTGCTGGTCTCGGGGGCATAACCATAGGGCTTCTTCAGGCTGATAACTTATGACATACAAAAAGCACTGTTCAATAGATATTTCGGTTTGGATGAAGTTGGCGATTAGCTGATGACGGAACACCCTAAACGCCTGCTATACTCCTAAACATTAAACCCTACACCGAAGGCCTAACCACAATTTCCTTTTCCAGCTGAGGTGCCAGGTCCCAGAACAGGCCGAGGGCGCGAGACCACTGCCCACCCTTCCTTGGTCAAAACCCCCTAAACCCTAAACCCTAAACCCTAAACCCTAAACCCTAAACCCTAAACCCTAAACCCTAAAACCGAATTAGCTTTCCGGCTCAAGGTTCAGGGTTTTCGGATACAGGGGCTTAGGCTTCATGGTTTAGGGGGTTGGGTTAGGCTTCGGGGTTTAGGGTTTAGGATTTAGGGCTTAGGGCTTGGGTTGAGATTTAAGTCTAGGCTTCTTGGATCCGGGTTTGACACTCAGGGCTTTGAAACCCGAGTTGGAGGCAAAGCAATCAAATACAAGCCCACTGGACCCCATGCCAGCTCCAGAATCTACGGGTTCAGGGTTCAGGGTTTAAGAAAGAACGCCCAGATCAAAACAAAAAACCCTTAACTTCATGTTTTCCGAAGCCAGGCACCCTAAACCCCATGCAACCCCCCCCCCCTCAGCCCTTACCCCCAAAATAAAAACCCTGAACCCTAAACCCCTGAACCCCGAAACCCTAAACCCCTAAAGCCTAAACCCCTAAACCGTAACCCCTAAACTCTAAAGATCCCACCCCAGCTGCTCGCAGGCGCTCATGGCGACGCCATAGGTGACGGCATCCGCCGGCAGTGCACGGCTCAGGCACCTGGGACCGGAGCTTCGGGCTTTGGGATCCTGCTTTGTAGTCAGCTTATAGGGGTTTGGGGCTTAGGGATTTAGGGGTTTAGGGGTTTGGGGGTTTGGGGTTTAGGGGTTTAGGGGCTTAGGGGTTTAGGGTTTAGGGTTTAGGGTTTAGGGTTTGGGTTTAGGGTTTAGCGTTTTTCGGTTTAGGGGTTTGGGGGTTTAGGGGTTTAGGGTTTGGGGGATTAGGGCCAGGCTTCACGGCTTAGGGTTTATCCCTGTGTCTGGGATTTGAGGATTCTTGTTATTCTGAATTTATGTTCACGGGATCCTATGGGGCGCTACGGCGGCAAGGCTTTGAAACCTTGGGGTTCGGGGCTAGCCTAAGGTAGCGGCCTTAATAATTAGAATAGGGTTTTGGTGGGTTCTTAACTAAAATTATAATGATATAATATACCCCAAAACCCTATTCTAATTAAGGCCCCTATATTAAGGTGGGGTTTAAGTTTGAGGGTGGTGTCATTAAGGGCCCATGGTTTCGGATCTGCTCACTGGTCTGCAGCCCTCGTGGACCCATAATGGAATCGTGCCGTTCACAAGGCTTTCATTCTTAGAATCTGAATCTCTGAACCCGGAAGTCTAGACGGTTTAAGATAGAAAGAACGCCTAATGAGAACTCAGCACGAGTTGATTTATGTAACAGTCCAACTAGAGTCGATGTTGACTAAGAATAGCTGATTTCTTAAAGCAATCTACGGGCCTTAATAGTTAGAATAGGGTTCCGGCGCCCAGAAACCCACAACAATGATAAGGACCCCGACAAAATAGTATTGGCAATTCTTTAGGCCCCTTACAGTACCTCGACCCCAGTATTAAATGAGTGTGGGGGCCCCGCGCCTGGCAAGGAGTAGAAGAGCGACTTGCCACTGGCCGCTTGACACGCAGGATCTCCTTAGGGCTTGGCACTCGAGGGGTTTAGGGTTTAGGGTTTAGGGATTACTCTAAGGAGGCCCAGGATTATTCAAAGGGCGGCTGCAAGGGCTCTACTATGGGTTGAGAGTGTGGTGTCGGGGGGCTTCTTAGCTTGGCTGCTGCTTGCTTTCGAGCTGCATGACCTTTCTAACCCTGGGGCTCCAAATAGCCCAATGTAGGTAGCATTTAAAGACTTCAGACCCCAAAGTAGGTTCTATTCGCATACTTGGAGCCCTAGGGTAAAACCTTAAACCCTAAACCCCTAAACCCTAAACCCTAAAGCCTAAAGCAGCATGGTCGGCTCAAGGGTTTGGGGCCTGCCGGCCGTTGGAAAACAGGGCCCAGCCTTTTCAGGCTTTCCTGAGTTCGCATGAACGGTCTGGGGTTTCGGCCCAGGGCTCAGGGATTTAGGGTTTAGGGATTGCGGATTGGGGATTTTAGGTTCTGGTTCAGGGTGCTTGCCTGCAGCACGCGAGGTTCCGAGACACGACACCAGACGACGTATTACATACACAGGTTGTGAAGGTAGGTGGAAGAAAACCCACAGGAGAACTAGTAAAACTTCAGTACGGACCCAGACATTCCAGAACAATTCTCCGGCGAAAAAGGGCTCCCGGAAGGGAAGGGACACATCCGCAAGAGGAAGACTACAAGTTGACTACGAGTGACGTCTTAATCTGGGTTCTTGTTAAGGGATTTAATTTAAGTTACCATAATAGGGAAACCGTATTATTTACTATAGATCCCTATTATGGTAACTTAAATTAAATCCCTTAACAAGAACCCAGTAATCTATAAACACCCCGTAAACACCCCAAATCAACCTGCTCTTTACCATTCGGCACTTCGCACCTTGAAATCACCTCGTGCTGGACTGACTGGACACTAAAACCCTGAGCAAAGCTTCGAAGCAGAATGCCTTCAGACCCTCAAACGCATACATCCATACATCTTTCCGGTCCAGGTGCATGGCCGAATTGTAGGTGATCACGCTGCTGCGCAAGTCTTTCTCCACCGACACTAGCAAGGAGAGAGCCACCTGCCAAAGATCGCCACCTGCTAGTGAAAGTTAGTGAGCCGAGGGCGGCACAGCACTGCATCAACCCAACTTGGCTTTTGCAGCTCCTCCGCCATGGGCTACAAGAGAAACCTGTTCCGCGGAATCCTGGAGCCTTCTTCTTCTGAATCTTGAGGTTGCTAAAGCACAGCACCAAACTCGAACGAACTGCATGAGGCGCTTTCAAGGTCGCAGCGGAATGCCGTCACCAACAGCAACCACATCAACATCGACATCATCCTCCCCGTCATCACCGCCATGAGCATCATCAGCATCATCACCACCATGAACGGCCTTCAACACCATAATCGTTGTCATCATGATCGTACTTATTACAATCAGTACTGTACCAGCGGCTTCAGCAGCAGCAACGTCATCATGACCGTCACCAGACCCATCACAATCAGCATCAGCATCATCACCATCAACAAAAAACATCGCCATCATCATCAACAACATCATCATTCATTAATTATCATCACCATCATCATTATCATTCTCATCTGTTGACAATACTATTTACTCTTCGTAACCATAGCAACGACTGCATCTTGCTGGACCCAGAGACTCCAATATCCCTTAGTTAAGGTATATGACTGAAATAGTAGGATCCTTAATGTGATTTAAAGTATATTCCTTAATT